AAAATATTTGGATAGGGCTGATTCCACTTTGTCACTTAATAGCAAAAGTAGCTATGATGAAAGGAAGTGTATAAGCTTCCCTCCGGCTGACAATTTTAGTGATCTTGGGATCAGTTTACCCAGATCCAGGGGTTAGGGAGGCCAAGCAGGTGTGTAAGGAAAGTTCTTAGTCCCATCATTTTCCTATGCAGTCTATGTCATACTATAGTCTTAAGCGTTTTCCATTTTTTATATAACGTGTACTCTGGTACAGAGTTAGAGACATAGGGCTGTCACTGAATCTCTCCAATAACCAACGGTGAGCAAATAGCATTTGAGTAACGTTCGCAAACTTAGAGTAACACAAGAGCAAGAAGCAAATAATAGCAAATGCTCCCGAAAGAAACTGATTGCTTGCCAAACACAGGCAGACACGGTCCCTACACCATTAAAAAAAAAAAAAAGACAAGTTAAAGATGGGGAAGAGGCATGCAATATAGAAGCCAGGGGAGCAGCAAGGATAAGCATGTCAGATTAACTATGGATTTATTTGTTTGCTTTTCAAAAAGATATTAAACAAAGCATTTTTCTCCCTTAATTCCTTCTCACAACTTCAGTCACTTTAGACACCTCTCCCAGTCACTTAGCTCTCTAACCCAAGCAGTAAACTTCGATTTACATCCCTCATTACAGCTTTAGATCCAGGCAGTGTTTTAGGGCTTTGTCCACATGGAGACTAAGGGTGTGTCTACACAGCACCCTAAACTCAAAATAAGATTACGCAATTTGCATAGTGCAAATTGTGTATCTTATTTTGAAATATGCCAAATTTCAAAATAACTATTTTGAATCTGTCTACTCAGTGCCAAATTTCAAAATAATGTGGTATTTCGAGCCATCCCTTATCCCTCATGCAACAAGGTTTACCAGGATGGCAAAATAGAGTGCCCGTTATTTAAAAAAATATTTCAAAATAATGGGTGGCTTGTGTAGATGTGGGGTAGCTATTTCAGGATACCTCTGGTATCTCAAAATAGCTGTGCAGTGCAGTCGTACCCTTAGTGTGCAGCAAGATGGGAATTTTTAATGCATGGAAACAGGATGATCATGGTGACTAAGGCTACATCTATACTGCAGCCTTCTTCCACAAAAGCTTATGCAAATGAAGCATGGAGTAGACTATCAACACGCTTGATTTGCATAATTAGCAGCTGTTTTTGCGCAAAAAAACCCTCTTGTGCAGTAGCTGTTCTTCCTCATTTTTTCAGGAAGAACGGCTCTTGCTCAAGAGGGGAGTTTTGCACAAAAAAGGAGCTGTCTACACAGCTCCTTTTTGCTCAAAAGCCTCTTGCGCAAAAATGTCTGCTAATTAATTATGCAACTCAAGCGTAGCGATATTCTACTCTGTGGTTCATTGCGTAAGCTTTTGCGGAAGAAGGCTGCAGTATAGATGTAGCCTTAGAGGGAAGTAGGTTAGTGCAAATAGATTTACCGTTTGTGTGCAGCAAGGTCAGATGCATTTGTAAATCTGGATCTGTGGAAGCTAGATTTGGTATTGCCAAGCCCACACTTGAGTGTCCATAGTGCATTGTAACACTGAGTTTACAATTTCTGGGCCTGGTTCTCACTACTGTGTTAACACCTCCATACTTCACTACTTACACCTTCTGACTCAAGTCTGTGGCTTGACTGTGTCCATAGCACAACATGATGGGACTTAGCATAATTGAACTCTGGTTTGGTTCCATACCCTTAGCAGGGCTCTAAGCCCAGTGCTCTGACTTCTTGATGATCTCTGTGTGGACAGAAGGGTCATAGTTGGGTACTAACTTAATCACAGGCTGGGCTTAGTGTGCAGAGACCAACTGCAAATATGTGTAGAGAACCCTACATGTGTTCTGCCTTTTTTTCCTCTACCCACACACTTGCAAACACCACCTATTCCCTCAGTCTTTCATCTCAATTGCTGCCACATCCTCTCCTCTAGCCTTGACAAATGCACTCGTACCCCAGACATAGCCATTCAAAATGCCACTGCCAAGATGGTTCTTCTAGCTTATTACTACAACCATGACACTTCCACCAGTTCCCTGTTCATTGCACCAAATACAAGCTGCTGGCCATCCCTTCCTATCCCCTCTTGCTCCCTGCTCCTTGTCGTCCCTCCTAAGCTATCAAGAATTGGTGCCCACCTCTGTTCAGCCAATAATAGCTGCCTTTAATATCCATCACTTACATTTTCAAGCAAGCCCTGTTGTGTTTTCTCGTATGCTGCCTTGCACCCAAGGTAAGAGCTCTTTGTAAATATTCAAAGCTCCTTCATATGCCTCTTTGAAACTTTCCATGCCTGCGTAATCGTTTTCCTTTGCCATTGTTTGTTTGCCCATCCTGGTGTTTTATCTTAGGCTATGTCTACACTACCCTTTCATCGGTCATTTTTTGTTGTTCGTCGGGGTGTGAAAAATAAACCAACTGACAGACGTCTTACCAACTAACACCATCAGTGTGAACAGCACTATCCCCTCACCAAAGCTACCGCTTCTTGTTGGGGGTGGTTTATTTTGTTGACAGAAGAGCTCTCTCCTGCCAATATAAAGAGCACCTACCCTACAGACCTCATAGCAGCACAGCTGTGCTGCTGTAAGGTGCACAGTGGAGACAACTTTAGACTTGGATCATCAGCTGTTGTAGCTAGGACCCATATTTTTCTTTTTTCTATAGTACCTAGCAGCTCCTAGGCACCATCAGATTACAACACTTGTTTATCCTCCTCCTGTCCTTCTTCCACCACAGAACATTTTGAACTTCTCCACAGTGGTCTCCAAACTTATTCCAGTATCCCTACCACCCTGTCCTCTTCTAACATTCAATCCTTTCTAACCAGGCATGCTTAATTTACATGCAAAGATAAAACCGAGGCAATACCTCGATTAGTTTCCCAACACATTGCAAAGTTAATGGGGCACCAGCAGTGGCAGTAGCTTTGTGGACCACCTCTGGAAGGAACTGCAAGAGCAGGGGCAGGCTGCATGGAAGAAAGCAGATAAACAGGGCCTGGAAGCTGGCCCTGTTGACTAGATGAAAGGGACAGGGAGTGGAGCATGAAATAAGAAAGGAGACAAGATTTGTAAGCTGGAGAGGCAGATCTAGGCTTTAACTTATTACAGTTAGTAAACTCACTTCTCTGATGAACAATACAAAAAAATCATTTTGAGAGGACGGTTAGCTCAAGGAAGTAGATGACAAACACACATTAAACACAGAGAAATTCTTCCCTTTAAATTGGTCAGTTCTTCTATTAAAACAAAACTATGTATTTATGTTTAAGCTTTATATAAAAAGTCAACTTCTCAGATAGGCTCCTTAATATTATGTCTATCTACAAAAACAACAGCAAGTGGGAATTAAGTTTCTTGTCTAATTCCTCCTACTGTGCAACAGTCACAGGTCCTGGCAGCAGACGCCACAGGGTGAGCAAAGCAGAGAAACTCAACTTCTATTCTGAAGTGACTTGCTTGCTTGTTGTAAACATGTCAGATCTTTGCGATAAAATATATTAATATTCATGGTGATTGTGTTATTAAATCACTATGCATTGCACTGAATGGTTAGTTAATATTATTTCAACACTGGTGTGTAGAGTGATTTAATGTCCTGTTTATTGTTATAGACAAGAAAAAAAAGCAAGATTTTTCAAAGCCATCAAGGAGATTTAAACATATTCTCCTATTTATTTTAAAAGAAGATTGTGTCTAAATCCCCTCACTGCCTCTGCAAATTTCAACCCAAAAAGTCTCCTACACAACCCATACAAGGATGAATTTCAGTCTTAAATATCACAAGCTAGTAATGTTGTTGTAGAATTTCCCAGAGCATGCAAACTCTTTATAAAGCATCACAGCTGTTGCAAAGTACTGTAAATATTCAAATTTTGTTTGTCATACCATAATAGTTCTAAAAACCCTTTATAAAGTAGATTTTTGATAGAGAAATCCAAGTGCTTGTTACTGGGATTTGTGCTGGAGGAATCACATTCCAGCAAATGTTCAAACCTGCATGCGAAAAGTGAGGCTCCTTTAAGGAATCCCGCACTAAGAGCTAGGCACCCAATGCCCAATGAATTTTAATATGAGTCAGGCATATAATTCCCTTATGCTTCTTTAACATTCCAGGCTAACCTTCCAAGTCTGTATTCAGACATCAAAATGAAAGCATGGTCTGACTCTCAAAAGTGTAAAGAACCTGTGGCTTCTATTTAAAAAAAGAAGACACGCTATGCAGACGGGAGTATAATTCCTTCACCTCAACGAGTGGTGGAAGATACATCAGTGGAAATGTCTCCCAGAGACCCAGGCCAGCGTGGATACCGCTTTAAGTATATCCCACTCACAGCACCCCAGAGGTGACTTTTCACACCTGCTGAGTGCAGTATATTATGTTGATTTAGGTGGTAGTGTAGCCAAGCCTTAAGCATTCGGCTCTCAACTTTGAAAAGTTTGGCCATAATATGCATAGCAAACTGTACACCAGGAAAGATTGCTAAAGTATGTGTAGTGCTTAAAGTTACCAAAAAAGGTGGGGGGGGGGGGGGGGACTGGCACCATTTAGTTAAAAAAAATAAACACATGCCCCACTTTGATGGAACTTATTTTGTTTCCCTGAATAATCTAACGATTCAACACAGCAAAGACTGTAGAAACACAGAAAAATATCCAGCTACATTTATTACTGAAATGTTATAAGCGGCTCCCAGTCCAAAACCTTGCCTACTTAGTTTAACCCAAAGCAAATTGGTCAGCCAAACATAAACCACCTGATATCAGATCAAAAGTGATGTCGTTTACTTTATTGTGATATATAAATAGAAAACTCACATCTATCTTTAACACTAGTGGTCACAATAATAAAACTGCAGTGGCACTAGTGGTCTCTGCTGTAGCAGTGTCAGGGTTAATTTTCAGCGGATATATTTAACATGTCCAAAGCTATCACGTACAATATCTTGTTTCTTTGTCTTCCAGGGGAATTGGAGCAGAATCGCAGACCAACAAATGAAGTGAGCTGAAGGCAATTTGACCAATGTCTTCGGTGTGAATTCCACAGAGGCTGACGAAGTGTGTTATCAGGTCTCTGAGGTACAGCACAAGCATTAGTCAGTTGTGCCATAAAATTAAGAAATTCGAGTAAGCTGTTGTATTGCTCTAGGTGAAAATGCCTGGGATACAGAAACTATTGCACTCGGTTTTAAAGTACATCTTTCCTAACTGAGGTTTGCTTGTTAAATGTTTACTTGTTTAATTACTCTGTCAAATAATTATGAAGTACAGGCACCTCACCACAAGGACAAGAGACTGGCTTTTAGGAAGCTCCACTTCTCTCATGCAGTCTGGTATCATAACTGTCTGTGTGACAGGGCGCAGCATATCATCGGAATGATAGACAAAAAGGACTAAGATGAAAGCTATTTCAAAACAATCCTGGAAGCCTTTTGCAGGAATCAGAATAGAGAACCTGAAATAAATGGAAAAGAGTTTGAAAGAATCTATAAAATATCATGGCAAATTTTGATTTATTTATTTCGTAGATGATCCCAGGTAAATGATGTCTCCTAATAAGGCACAGGGCAATCTCAATTATATAAGAATTATTAGTCAATGCATCATGTGCTGTTTTATATTCCCAGCAGAAAGTTTTTCCATCTCATCAAGAGTTTCCACGGCTGCCTAGTGTTTCTGTATATGCAAAGCATATTTGAGCTTCACTCCCCTCCTCCCCTCTCCATCACCCGCTCCCCCTCCCCTGGCAGCCTGGCCCAAAGCTTCACTAATTAAAAAAAGCCCTGTCAAGTGGTCAGACAGACTGGAACTAGAGGATTATAGGTAAGAGGGATGAAATGAAGGGTTGAAAGCTATAATTTCTCTTTCTGTGGTATAGCAGAAGTAGCTGTTCTAGACAGGCAAATTAAAGAAGTAGCTGCCTAAGCAAACAGGCTTTATCATGTCTTGTGCCCCAAAAGAAAACTCATCTGCACCTCACTTGTAAGATGCAATAACTGCTGGTTGTTTCTTTTTCTCCCTCTTTCCATTTCTCTTATCTCATACAAGCACTGCACCCTCCGGCAGGTTTCCTTCCGGTCCTGGCACACCAATTCTACTTCTTCCATTCCCTCACTTTTTTTGTCCTGCTGCGTTAACAGTAATTCCTAGGCCTTTGACTAGTGTTCCATGCTGGGAGCTGCTAGCAAACAAAGAGAACACTTTTGAAAGGCGACAAACTGAAATGAAGAGGGGAGAAACAGCTGCAATTCTATCCCGTTTTGTGTACATGGGTTAACTTTGTTCATTGTGAGAGGTTATTTATACACACTACTAACTACATTTGGTGATGGGAGGGGGGGAAAAAAAGTTCTGTCCAGGTAACCAGATATTCAAAATTCCTTCTCAAAAGTCCTTGAGGAAAAGACAAATGACCAATATGAATGTAAGAAATATGGTGAAGTAATTATCTAGTTGAATATTTTCCAACAGAATGGGGGCTTCCTGTCTCCTGAATCCAGTCTATTTACTCTGAATCTCACAGAAAAAGTTGCTGTATTATATTTAACACTACTTGTCACATGATGGAGTATGTATTCTTCTCTAGTACTGCAACTGCAAGAAGTTCTGTGGGATACTGCACTCAAAAAAAATGTGAACTACTGTAAAAACAAACAAGCAAACAAATCCTACTTGAAAAGTTCAGACTTTTGGCCCAGATATTTAGTTCTACACCAGCTGCAGATTTCCCCAGACCATTAGAAATCTTGGCTACCCATTTAGACCAGCTTTCAAGACCTTTGTACTGGCAGAGCCAGGGTTTGCCCCTTTTACCCTCGCCTGTTTGTCTTGTGACATCATCCCATCTGGCTAGTCAATGTAGGTGTTGGAGGGGGTCTGCAGTCAAAACAAATTAATCACCTCAGACTTGCCATGGGTGTGTTGCCTAGGAGCTAGGACTTCAAACATTGCTGTAGCTCTGGATTTTGTTGTTGTCATCCTCAATGATAGTGCTGTACATATATAGTATCTTTCATCTGAGGGCTCCAAAAGCTAATGGAGAGCAATACGGAAGCCAGTCTTCCAGAGGAGCTATGAGACAAGGGCTGTATCCATTTTATGGATAAAAAAATGGAGTCACAGAAGTTACATGATCTATCCTGAGTTACACAGTTATAGCAAAGCCAGCATTTCAGGTGGGATTGGGAACTTCACCCTCCCAATTCCCTTCCCTCCCTTCACTGCTAATATCTTCTAACTTGTTGGCCACAGGTAGATTAACTGAAATCAAAACCCTTCAAAATCAATGTGTAACTGACCACATGTAGGAGCACCCGGGTGCCCTATAGAGACCTCCATGTGGATGATGATAAAAAAACAAACAAAAAACAAACAAAAAAACAGAATGCACTTCATCATCAAGTAATGGGAATTGTCCAGTGGGAGTACCTGCCACTGAAGAAACCACAACAGACACCTGAGTCATAAAGAACCAGTAAATACCATCCTATTTTCTGTTACACTGAATTGCATTAGAAGTCACCCATCACTGAATCATGTTTGTATTGATTTAAAAATAAATCAATCCACCTATGATTGAACATAAGGGAGACAGTGATAAAATATCAAAGTGCCTCACAACATCTGCAGAGAAGGAATGTAGCTGTTCATCACCTGTGAACATATGGTAAAGCACCCAGTACCACATAATATTAACCCATAGCATGGTGGAAGCAAAACCAATTAGAGCCAAAAAATAAGAAAGTTGAATGGAGCATAAACAGAAAGCTCTTTCCACACAGCAGAATGTATTGAAAGCTGCTGGTAGGTCTACAGCAGACCTTGAACTTTATACTACCTTATATTACATACTGCATGCATGTATGCTACATTAGTTTTTCTTTTTTTTAAAAAGTCGGCTTTGGACACGGTTTAAGGTCCAACCAAAGCCAAATAACCAAAAGGTCATGGCCACCTCTCAAGAGAATGTTTCAATGTTGTGAGTTCAAAAGACTGAAACTTAGTGAAAAGCTCAAAACATACACAAGCTTTAAGTTATGATAAGAGGATGTGATATACAGAATTTGGTGGTCCTAGCTTTTACTGTTTAGGAGCAGTTCTTGAACAAACAGAATCACAGATTGACAAACTCAGACACACACATTTCAAATGATAAAAGTCACATCCACAGTATGGCCCATCACATTACAATCTAGGTGAACCATTTGTCACTTAAAATTTTGTGTAGTAGAACAAATCTGATCCCCCTCCCCCAATATACATCTTACCTCTCTCTCCCCCATTAGAAAACTTTTGAGAGTGTAATTTTAGAAGTTCTTAGAACAAAGTAGCTTGCACTAAGATTAATAGTAGCTATACCTTTGGAACAGACAGAGCATTATTGAAGTTTGAGGTAACTAGAATGAATTGAATAGGATAAAAAAAATACAGAAATATTCAAAACAAGACAAATCATGTGTCTTGCCTCAATCCTAAGTAAACTTTCTTCCATATAATAATGAGTAACACCATTATTATTAGACTTACTCAGTGGTGGGTTTACTATTGTAGTACAAATCAGATAAACAGTAGGACAGCATAGTGTAATTAAATATGTTCATAAAGCTCATACAAATGGATTTATGCAGGCAGCTCAATAGCATGCATAGAAGCTAGTGTAGAAATACTTTGTGTGTCAAGAGAAAAACAGAGCACATTGATTCTGAAGGGTGTTTTCTCCCTTTGCACAATGCAAAATGATGGAAGCCCACAGATCTCAAAAGATTATTACACATCTGAGATCTTCACTAGCTATGCCTAGAATATTTATTTTGTAGCACAGAGAATGGCAATTCGGAGTTCCATGTTACTTCAAAAAAATTTGATATAAAATAATTCAATTAATTTTAATGGGTGATAATACATTTTACTCTCTCTCCCCATGTCCTCTATTTTAATGAGCTGTCCCACTATTGCTTTTAAATATAATGCCACTGCATGACAGGGGAAAAGAGACCAGGTGAGGGAACTCCACACCCTGAGTTTCTCACATACTGAGTGAAGTGCCATTCCAATAGACTCGAAAGGGGTGCAGGGAAGGGACAATTATGGACAGATCTTGTTGTGAGAAGGGTGAAGTCAGGAAGTTTGAAAAAGGCCCAGATTTCCAGCCACAAGTGAGCTCTGGCCACTAATATAGCCTGGTTGTGGTAGTAATTGCCACAGACTATCTACATGGGTTTCTGGTGCTGAACAGGGCATGGATTGGAGCATTTTAGCCTATATGCTTTTCTGCAAAATAGGCAACATTACCAAGAGACAGTTATGCTACCACAAGAAGAGCTGGGGTTGTAACATGAAGTCAGGTGCAGCCTACAAGAACCCACTATACTACAAACAGTACAAACACATCCAGGAGGCCCAGTTTCTGCCCTGATGGGTTTTTAGGTTACAAAGACAAGACAAAGGGCAGGAAAGGAAGCACAGAAGCACTAAAAGATCAAGTGACTTGGCTAAGGTCACACAGTAAGTCTGCAGCAGACCACAGAACAGAACCCAGATGTCCCGAGATCTTGACTAGTAGCCTAGCCAATAAACCACCCTGTCTCTGCAAAGTGATGGTCAGTTCACATTTGAAAACACTTCACAGTTAACAAAAAGGGGGAAAGGTTTGAAAATAGTCTATTTAAAGGACGTAACATAGCAGCTCTCCCCCTTCCTCCTTTGTTCAGGCTAGCAACTGGCTGGAAAGCAGTTGTTTATTAAAGGGATATTTCTCCTCAAGCAGAGGGAGCAAGAGCAAATGGGTTTTAAAGGCAAATAGAAGCCCAATAACACAGCATTTCCAAATGTTTACAAACCTCGCCTCTCTTTCAAAGTAACAAAGATACAGTCTGAGGGGGCCAGTTTATTGGAAAGATCAGAGCTAGGATGAGGGCCTGCTATTCAAGGTGTCTCAAGTTTATTGCAGCTTGTGGCACATACCAACACAGAATGAGTGTGCTAGACTTTAACTCCTAGTTTTGGTCACCTTAGTAAATGTTTGCTATATGTGTGTTCCTGAAGCTCAGCTAGATTATGGGAGACATACAACAGAAGAG